TTCCAGAGGTATTCGACATATAACTTGACTAAAATGATAAGTATGGTGTATTTTATTGAAAACCAGTACTGATGGAATTTCTCCAATCAAACTATGTCCAATCAATTGTTAATCTAAGAAAAAAGTATACGTAACTGTATACTGTATAGTAACCGTATGTCATTGGAAATATGACGTATGTTTAACTGTTAAACCTTCGAGTACTTAGTCTGTACATCATACTGATACAAGATAGAAATGGCTCAACAGTTTGTTTGAAGATTATATAGGAAGACGTTATTAATTTAATTTATTGAAGGTAGATAGCGAAGTGTATTACAATATATCGTATAAATATACGTGCATGATATAGGAAAAGCTAGAAATGGATTAACAGTTTGTTTGAAGATTATATTTCAAGATATCATAAATTTGGCTTATTGAACACATACGTAGCACGATATATTTTATACAAGTACACCAAAAGTCTGAACAACATATTCTATCAATTTTTTAATATATTTCTTTCGTACGTTTGATCACTTTAATGAGCATCCAGAGTATTAAAGTAATCAGAAGATGCATAACTTGAACACACGTTATGTTCTACAAGAAACTTTGAAGAATAAAATGTATCGGCCGAGTATCGTTGTAAAATAACGTTTCCTCGTCGAATTAAAACAAAAAAAAAAAATCAAAATAAAAATCTTCAAAGAACAAATCTAGCTCTCGACACGATTGACACGACTGGCGTGATCAACATTTTGAAAATGAGATTGTGACGAGGATAAATACATAAAGAGAAGGTTCGAGCACGCGGCCGCGCGTCGCGACTAATAGCATACCAGCTATCCGAAGCAAAATTTAATCCAATGAATTAATTATAAACTATGCTCGACATTTCGTGCCCGGCTTATCCAATTACTATGGATATGAAGTACGCCCTCTTGCGAGACGTCGCTGCCTCTCCTCCCGCTTATGATACTATCGGTAATTTTATTTACCAACTTCAGCCCGCGTTGGCCCGTCACTTCTCGACGTCGTTAGGATATTCTTCAGCGAGTCGTTGTCCGTTTAATCGTTCCCGCTTTCGCTTTCGCGACTTTCACTCTCTCCGAGCTGTTCTTCGTCCCTTCCTTTGAATTGAAGTAGGCGCGAGACACAAAAGGAAACGCGATTGACCTTATAGCTTATAGAAGCGGCGAACTTCTCCGCCACCATTATGAAAATTAGTTTTCACCCTGTGTGTGTTCTTTCCCGTTCGCAGCGGGAAACATACAAGCAGTTTCCCCGCATTTTCCTTTAACTTGGCTAAGCCAAGGCTAAAGCGGAGAGATCAACGCAATGGAGGGGATAGTTCTGTTGACTGAAGAAGGGGGAGGGGGAGAGGAGGGGAGCACGCAGGCCGCCAGTTCGCCATCTCTGGCTTACAGAGAGCCAAGAGTAGCAGAAGAAAAGAAACATTAAGTTGACCAAGAAGTATTTTTTTCTTCAGGTGCAAAACTGAAAAAAAGGAGAATTTTTCATAAGAAGTGAAAACTTTATTAGACAATATATCGAACATTTTGTTCGATTTTTTTGACCATCTTTCAATTTCATGACTCCGCGTTCAAAAATGATTCTTTTTCCACAGAAATCAGTTCCGAACAATTTGATATTCTTGTCAGAAGTGAAATTCTGACACTGTGCTGTAGTTTGAAGGCTTTTTTCACTTAGCAATCTTATTATTGCGAAAATATTAATATTCTTGAGAAGGATATGGATTAGATGTTTCGTACGTTGTTATATTTTTGTTCATATTTTGTTTAATTCTAGACAATGACAGTTTATATAAAAATGTTAACTCCAGTTGTTGAAATAAAAAGTTCCTCTTACGAAATGAAATCGGCGCTTCGAGTTTCGAGACTATACAAAGTTTTCGGCTTCGAGTTTCGAAGTCAGCTTCCAATCGATCCCTGCATGAAAATGTACAACAGAACACATCTTGTGTAGTCGTCTCTAGTCTAAAGAATTTTTCAAAGTTTCGAATGTTTTTTTTATTTGCCTGTAACAAGAAATATTAGTGTCAAGTTCAGTTGTATTCTTCGCCACAGGAGTGCTCTTACATTCAGTTGAAAAATGTCGGGTTGTAAAAGTGAGCAACGAGTTCCTGTTAGATTCAGGAAGTATTGATCAAAGTTTACGGTGAAGATCGCATGTCTCGCGCACATGTTTCTGAATGGCAGAAACGATTTTTGAAAGGCAGAGTAAACGTGAAAGATGATCGCTCAGGTCGTTCGCGTACTGTACTACCGACGACACATTGAAAAATATGCGGAATGTGATTCGAAAAGAACGAAGTGTGCACCGTCAACTCAGGAAAGAACTAGATCGTCGTGGTGGATATTTCACAGACATGCGTGGAAATCATTCAGAATTTGGCGACTAAAATTGTTGTTAAACATTTATTTGTTGATTCGTAGCTTACAGTTTGCCGAATTCGGCACAATCGGCTTCTCATCAACTATTTTATTGTAAAATTATTTATTTTAGATTGATATATATATATATATATATATATATATCTAATATAATTTATATAATTGTAAATATATAATATTTAAATATTTTTACTATAATATTTTTAATATTTAAATATTTTAAATATAATATTTTTAATACAATATTTTTAATATAATATTTTTAATATTTAAATATTTTTAATGTAATATTTTTAATATTTAAATATTTTAAATATAATTTATGTGATTAATTTCGCAATAAGCTAACAAACCGATTGACTTTCTATGCTTGTTGAATTATAAACACGATCTCGTTGTCATTTTGCCTTCTATTCACGCTAGACAAGCTCCAGGGTAATTCTATTATCGCTTTATGAACTTGTAGAATGTGACGAAACAGTGTAATGAAAGCGTTTTATAGCTACACAGATTCAGGACCGTGATAAAAATGGAGTTGGAGAAAGTTTCACGTACAAGGAGAAACGACGTGTACTAATGGAGCAAAAGTTAGAGGGGTCAGCATCCCATGGCTGCGAAGGTGTTTAGGGTGATTAATAGTTTACCGGACTACTCTCCATAATTAATGTACAACCGTAAATTCAGCTTTGCAGCTGGCGACTATTTAGATATTACAGTATTAGGCGGGAAGCTTGTTTTACTGATTTCGGTAAAAAAATTTCGAGATACGAATCTAATAAGCTATGATTTTTCTTCTGTGCACTGGATTGATCTCGTTTTCTTTTTTGGAAATTTGAATTTGACGCTTCCAATGCTGTTCGAGTTTCTTCTGGCCATTTAAAAAGAATAGAAAGAAACTTTCTATAAATCATGCATGTATTCGGTTACTAAGAAGATTCGTTATAAAGTTAAAAAATTTCATTATCGTAATATTAATCTGCAGTTAGTAGACTACGGATTCTAAAATTTGATAGTTCCTAAATCTGGAATAATGAAACAGTCATTAAAAAATATACTGAATGATACGAACATTATTTTTATTAAATATAGAATATTCTGAAAAAACCACGTGCAATTAATACTACTTATATACTTTATTTATATTTATACCTACATATGTATGTATTATTTTATATTTATACCTATATACTTTATTTTTATCAATATTTGATATTTACTATTATAAGCTAACTCCTCCAAGTTCCCTCAAAAGTTCTTTTTAAATGAAATAAATTCCTTCGTGTGCTTCTCGACAGACTACGAATATCATAATTACGAGCTTCGTTTCGATAATAAATCATTTATGAAATAAATAAATCGCAAATAAAACGCTTGTATTTCTTTCGAAGTTCCAACACACACGAAACATACAACTGCAAAAAAAGAAATTGCATTAATTTCTCTTCGGTTTCCACGCGAGCGATATTATCTCAAGGGCCCGTTTGATTTAATTTAGTTGGATTTGCCACCGCGTTATCAACCGAAAAATATTCGCGTTCGTTTCGCAGAAAGTATTTCGATGTTCTTTGTTCATTCGGTTGGTTTAATGAGCAAAGCCGTTCCTCCCGCGAATTTCCCCGGTAATTGCAGCAAGTGTAGCGCGACAAGCGGCCCTGATGCGGGCTAATAGCCCTCTCCTTTCTCCGCTCTGGGGTTGAAGTTTCGCGATTCGGTATCGGATCGAAGGTGTGCGTTATACGTGCACGTTTACGGTCAGTGTTCCGGGGCGAAACGGCACTTTCGGAAAACGGTTATGTCGGGCACGAAACCGCTCGAGCGGTCACAAAATTGCAGCTAAAACCCCCTTCGCTCACGTCGTTGTATTCTCTTCTCGCCGTGTTCCTTCATCCCTTTTGTTATCTTTGTTTGTCGTTCTAATCTCTTTTCCGAACGATTAAAACTATAACGACAAAGCCTGACAAAATAAGACGTTCTTATTATTAATTTCGCGGTAATAATAATTAATAGAATTGTTCTCTTTAGAAAAAGAACATATTTATAAGTGTATTCAAGTATTGTATACCACCAGCCAGTAATCGAGCACTTGCAATATTCTGACCATCCACGATGCCCAGTATTGAATTCTCGATATTTTTTATTACGTATGACTTTTCTCCCGAGCAAAACTTGTCGAATAATAAATGTACACAACTTTATCTGTTTTCTGAATCAGGAGGTACGATCGGGATACATATATATATATATATTGTTATTACGATCTGCTTAAATAATAAATAATTTTCATTTATTATTTCTATTTATTATTGTTGTCACTTTGCTTTCTTTATCGATATTGTAATTTTGAAAACGAACAAACAACCAATGGTTTTGTCTCGTCGGCGCTATTTAGAACGAACAATATCGATTATACGTCTTTGCGTATAAAACAGTACGAAGTAGTAAAGGTAAATCACAAGTCGTACTCAACGCGAATGGATGAAGGCTAGTTTTGACAAATATTTCAGTGCTTTTATTCGATATTTTATTTCTCTCCCTCTCTCTTTAATTTCTTCATAATGTTTCAAAATTCGACTGTTATGAAAAAACGTCTACTATGAAAACATGCTACAAAAACATATAAAAATCCGAAGTCTAGTGCCTAATCTGGTATACAGATTTCCGTCAGATTCTCTTCATCCTGATTTATTTATGTTTTAAACAAACGTAAGAATCATTATTAGTATTTCGTTTAATAGTTGGCTTAACAGATTAATTATTAACGAATTATTTATCGACGAAAATGTCCTCCAAAGTACATCCATTGATAAATATTTGAAAGTTTACTCTTGCAACTGGCTGTACGGGTAACAATGTTTCAATCCGAAGCCAACTCTTTGCAAATGAAATTACAATTCCAGAATAATAACACGTTGCTCAATTTATTCGAGTAATGTTTCAATGAGCTTCTCGCCAAAACCGTATCAACAGTATCTCGTATAATTTCGTAATTAAACGAATCGGTTCAATGAAAATTGGCTCTATCGAGATCTTATCTCGCTTCACGGTTCGCTCGTATGCGATACGACTTTACGAGACGATGAGATTATGAAAATCACATAAATCGAATTCTCTCTGGTAATTCCATTCGAACAGAAATACACGTATTACGCTATCGCTTCACGTGCTGCTACTTCTCCGCCGAAGATGCAATGCTTTCTCGTTAGTGAGGTTCTGTACACGAGGGTCGATGTTGATTACGGTACGTGTATAATTTTATTAATCATTTTAACGACCCTAAACACGAAAACTTTATGTAAATCGCAGATTTACGATATTTTATTACTTTCGCACTTTTATTTTTGGAGGCGTTCTGTTCTAACCTTTACCAGCAATTGCATACGGGCATAAGTTTCGAAAATAAAAAGTTCGAATGGAACATCCGATAGGTCGGACAAAGTTTAAGAAGCTATTTAAAGTTGGCGAAAATGTGTTAGTTACTGAAAGAATCTCGGGGATATTTCAGTTTCCGATGAATGTGTAAAAATCTGCAGTCTAATTACGATCAATTCCAATGACATCGTACAAGCTATCTTGACCCATTTACACCACGATTAAGTGACGCCAGATAAGCTGTCTCAACTCATTTGCATCACGATTAAAATATTAAATTGCACGAACGCATCAACAAAGCTTATAAAGGTTTATCAAATCATTTATTATTTGTGAAGCTACATGTAAACGTTTATTATTCTCTATTAACGCCACGTAGAAACTGATCGAAATGATTAATTTATAATTTTTATTGGAGAACCTCCAGTGGGTGTAAAACAGTGTATTTTTAGAGGTTCGAATGATTTTTCGTAAAACGAACAAACCATCTTTTTTCACCATTTGAAAGTTTCTTCTATTCTTCGACTTTGTATCTCTAATGGAAATTTTAGTCTTCAGTCAGTGTGTAAGATCAACGAGTATCTAAAATTCAGTTTCATTCTGTCTTGTACGTTATTCATATTCCTAAAAAAAAGTGTCCTGTTCTTAAAATAAATCACATCGACTTTTACGATGTAATTTATCACTTTCGAAATTTTAATTGTCGGGAATTTCCTTTTGTTTCGATCTACCGCCCGCGCGCGTATCTATACGGTACATCTTGAAGAAAATACATTGAAGAAAAAGAAGAAAAAAAATAGAATAAAATGAAATAGAACGCCGCAATGCGGGTTGAACAAAGCTAGCGAAGAAAAATTGATCGGCGGGGGAAATACCTTGCGGATATTCCAAGATCGTCTTTTCTTTTTTCCTTCTGTGACATTTGGCGTCCACCAATTTAGAAAGTAACGACAACCGTAAAAATAAATTCAACAAAGCAGACAGTTCTTGACATTTGATTCCTTTCGCGGAAAAAGAGAAAGAGAGAAAGACGCCAACGTCACGTACAATTTCCATCGGCGCGCACAGTGTAGTATTCTTCTCGTTATTCGACGAATTGGAACAGTTTTACGAGTGTCATTGCGCCGTGATATTTTACGATATCGATAAATTGCTTCCGATTGATACAGATCACAGCGATGTCCCGCGAGGAATCTGCTTTGTTCGCGGTCGTTTAATCAATTCGCGTAGAATCGTCGGTCGTCGATTCGCATCCGGATGGAGCTACATTAAAAAGAAATCACGTTATAATACTTAGAAATTACGTTTAACGTAGCCTTGTTCGGCTCGTGTAACTACCGAGTAGCACGTAAAGCGTACGGCCGAGACTAAAGGCTGAACCACAGACGCTGCCCCTAGAAAATGTATTCACCAGCGCGAATCAATTTTCATCAAACTGCAACGACCGCCATTAAATAAAATAATCGACCTCGCGATAAAGTTATTTTATGGCCACGGGAAACACTCGCGAGCTGAAGGAGAAGTGTTTCGCGAGGGTAATCGTCTTCTGAAATACGGGGTGAACATGCATTTGTGAGAATTCGACGATTTTTTTAAAGAACGAATCTCTTTATAACTGAACGTCGAGTTGAATGTCAGATGGTTGTATCAAATTAATGAATCAGGTGTAATACAGTTTTTAAGTTCTGTTGTAACTTGTATAATTGTCTTTTACGATTGGATTACATCAAGTATGAAATAACAGTACTGAATTGAATCGAACGTAAAGTTTCAGGTCTCTGTATTCAGCTAGGTATTAAATTAATACATTGTATAACAATAATTAATAAATGCAACGATATTTAGTTGTTGTAAATAATTAAATAATTATAGTAAATTAGTGATATCCTTTATAATTCCTTATAAACTTTAAAGTAATTTTTTTCAAAGTGCTATCAAACGATTTTATTTTTTTTTTTTTTTTTTTTTTTTAAAAAAATTTTGGACTAAAGTCGGCTATTAAATGCATATATGCGTATATAGTCGTATATATATATCGGTGTTTGTAAAGAAAACCGTTGCATGTTACATACTTCCATTTTCGAGATATTATAGTTTACAATTTTTCTTATTAGTAATTTCTTTATTTTCTTTCGTAATTGCATACTTTCCTCACTCTGTTCATAATATCATTTTTCTTTTTTCTGCAATCGAAACATTCTGCTAGAAAATAACCTAGAATACATTTTCCGCACATTGTTTTATTTCATACAAAATAATATATTATAGTGTAAGCAGATAATCATGGACGTCGTGTTCTTCAAATTTTATGGCCTTGACACATACAAACGAAATATTTTCAATCAAATTGCATTTTCTTAAACCTACAAAACTTTTTTCCATACATCTTTTTTATTAAGTACACAAATCATGTGTCATACAATCCAATTGACATATAAATTCAAGTATTCTGGAATTGTGATATTTAGCGTTCCCCTCTACAGCCACATATATATTTGAAACAATATTGTTTTTAATTTTCTCATTGAGCGTCGAAAATTACTTCTTTTATACTGTAATAGAAACGTATTACTATATACATCTATCATACTTTTTTTTGTAAAAGAAATATAATACCGTGAAAGTAACTCGTGCGACGTTTCTGCACGTGTCTCGTGCCAAAAAAGTTCAACTAGCATTACTTCTTCTTCTTCTTCTATTTTTCTTTAATGTCGCATCGACAGCGAGGTCATTAGCGACGACGGTGCCATTAGATATGTGTGTAGTAGTTTATGTTTTTGAGATATTTTAATACTCTTTGTACGTCATTTTGAGAAGTCAGGTTTATGTTTGCGTTGATTCCGTATTTTTGTCTTTGGATTTCTGTGGTGTGGCATTCGTGCAGTATGTGGGTTATTGCAATGAGTGCAGGTGGGTGGTGTAGTTTTTTTCATTTTGTGTTCATGTGTTAGCTTGAACACTTATGACCGGTTCTTAGGCGTGAGATAATTATTCCTTCTTTCCTCTTGGTAAGGTTTGGTGTTTGCTGGTGAAAGTCTTGGATACTTTTGTGTAGTTGGGTGCTTTTAGTTATTTTCCATGTAGTGTTCCATTCATTTTTTGCTACTTTTTTGCAGTGGATTATTTGGTCGTCGCAGGGGATTGGAAGATGATGGCGATTATTAATAAGTGAGGGAACTATTAATAAGTGAGTGGCTTCTTTTGCTGCTACGTCGGCTTTTTCATTTCTATTCATTGATGAGCTGAAATCCAGATGACTGTGGCGTTTGTGTTTGGTTGGTTGTGGTTTAGTTCTTGGATAGTGGATATTAATTGGTTTTCTTGATCGTATGATTTCGTTAGAGATTTTATAACGAACTAGCATTACTTGAAATTTACATTACAAAAGTCGTCAAATTTCTTCGCCATGTTTGCTCGACACCCTCCGTATTTTTCCAAAGAAAAGGACAAAAGAAAAATGAAACAAATTTCGCTGAAAGGTGCGTCAATGGGAACGTCAAAAACACGACGATGATCAAGTGGGAAGAGGAGGAAAGATATGTTAACCGATCTCTAAAACGCCAGGTCGACGATATGAATATTCCATTACGCAGTGTCACCATGTATGCAAGGTCCTGTACGCAAATAGGGTAGATCGTGCTTCTCCTCGTATCGTTCGCACAGGTCGGTGTAGGTGCGCACGTATCTTTCTAGGCGGTTGCTCGTGCACATAGGTGGTCGTTTAGCCCGAGGTGCGGAATATCTCCGGTGTAATTGCACCTTTCGCGCGAACCGCGCACCCGTAAATCTGCGTGAACAGGGCAATTTCGATGCGCGTCTAGGCGCACGGCGACACATGCTCGATACTATCTTTAATTGAGCAACAGCCAGCATCGCGACGAGGCCCGCAAGTTAATTCACCGCTGCCATTCGTCCGATTTCGTTCTCCAATTTGATACGAATGGACGTCAAAGTCCTCTTTGGCTACGCGCTAACCATTCTGAATTGCGGCTGTCGCCTGCGATCCGTTAATGTCACGTCACACCGTGTCAGCCACGTTTTAGGTGCGTCTCGCAGAATTGGCATTGGCTTTCTCTATTTCATATTCGCCACTGTTTTTTTTTTTTTTTGTAATTTTCTTTGTAATAATCGTAACATTTTTTTCACTTCTATCTTCCTGAAGAAATTTCTCTCGCCTTTTCATATACTTGCCATTTATTTTTTTTATTAATTTTTATTCTGTACGACGAAAGTGGAATTAACTTGAGACATACAAATTCAAAGTGTTGACGTAAATTAAAATAATAATAAATATACACTTTGTGGGACGACAGATTATTATAAAATAGAAAGTCTTTGAACTTCCATAACTTTTTTAAATGAACTGTTTTTGGAATTTATCACGAACATATCTATCGATATTTTTAGTGACGAGGAATTAGAAATCCTCGACGACATGAAAACACAGTGACAAGTGATTTATATAACGAAAGTCGAGTGATTCTTCTCTCTGTTAGTAATCTTAACGTTCACATAGTTAATAGTTGAAACAAATAGATTTTCATAAATAAGTAATTACTGACTAGAATTGAATTCATATAATTGTGTAACTGTGTTTCTCGTTTAATATTTCAAACAATCGGCATATTATCGATGCAAGCTTAATGTCTTCGTTCGAGTCCAAGTGTCGTCCGGTTCCAAGGAACATTCTTGACGGAATAATCAGATTTAATGGAGGATGTCGTCGGCAGAAGAGACACATGGATAAAATTAGCTCTCGTACGAAATTCTAAATATTCCAAGTGCCTTCGACCGGATGTAGCCAATATCGGTAAAGTCAAGAACACGGCAATGGCGCAGATGTCGTCAGGCGGCAGGTGTATTCACTCTCCTATAGCATGCTTCATAAGTGCTAAAAGTAACGCTTCTGCAGATAGTCGGAGCTTTTGCGTCTGAACTCGGATCGTACGATCTCGCGTCGTTTCTGAAGTTTTAATGATTAAAACAAATATATGTATATATACATACAAATGCTGGTGAACGTTTTATTGGAATTCGAATATCAGACACGAAGAAAAAGAGAATCAAAGTACTTTTCACTTTCGACGATCTTGTTCTTGTTTGTCGAACGTGGCAACATTGATAACGTTGAGTGGTTGCATTAATAATGAAGAATTATCAAAATGATGGAACAGTTTGTAATTGGTTTTTATAAGAACATTGATACATTTACAATGAACAAATAGTTTTTGGCAAAATACGATATAAATGGAAACTTGTGTTCATTGTCCTAGTGTCAACATTCTTTCCCATTATGTACAGTTAATTAATTTCATACTTGTGCAAAACATTTGCAAACGCTGTTCTTTTTCTGTCGCGTTAACGTCCACGGTTATAAATTTCTTCCATGCAAGAATACTCGAATTTCGAAGGGAGACTTTTCTGCGTTTAAAAAGAGAGAAAGAGAGAAAGAGAGAAAGAGTTTCTTAAATTTTTTTTAAATTTCATCGAATTGTAGAATCCAGATAGCAATAGAAATAAATTTCATGGAATTTCCTTTCGTAACTCCAATGATAATAAAAAATAATGTCATCAATATAAATGGAGAAGAATCGTGAATGAAACATTGCGTCGATGTCATTAACGGCACAGGTCTAACGTTAATTGTCATTCAATAGTGAAGAGAAAACACGGTTTTGTTACCTAGACACACATTCTCTGCATCATGTGTGATTTACGTACGACTATACACACTAGAGCAGGCAAGAGTGATACACGCGGCGCGGTATACGTGCGAAATTTTACGAAGGCTGAGATGCAGCTGTGCGTTTCCGGAAGCTCGAAGTGGCACCACCGCGCGCATAAGCTCGAGCGGCGAGCACCTATCAACAGCGAGCTAACGTCTTCGTGGTTTCCGTTTTCCGCAGATCGCGCGCCCGCGAATAAAATCGAGAACGGAAAACGAGCGGTTCGATTGTTTTCGTTGTCTGTTTCCAAGAGGAACGACGCTTCTTCTCTTACCGTGGAAAACAATTTCTCGGGGCCGCGCGATACGTCTTCCGAGCGAAACGTCGAACGAAGGAACTGCTTCGAACGATTGAAACAGCCGTTTTCTGTTATCGCCGTAGGTGGAATTCTGGGAAATTCCGCCGGGTTTCTTTGCGCCGTTTGCCTCGGCCAATTAATCGATCGTACGTTTAATCGACGTGTCGGGCAAACGTTTCTCTATCTTCCCGGATATTTCCGCAACATTTATCACGGTGCGTGAAATAAATTTGCTTGCTGCAACGATTCAACCTACGTCGATCGTATTTGGGAGAAAGGGTTCTAGTAACAAGTAGGAGTTTTCATGGCGGTAGTTAAGATTTTCTTTAGATAAACGAGCAAAACGGTACATATGTTTTTATAATATATTATTTACAATATGTATTTTTATTATATTTACATTTGACAGTATAGTTAACTGATAACACGTATACTATTAATTTATATAATTTAATATTATATTATATTTATATTTATATTAATGTAACACGTGGCAATATTTTTATAATATTATTTACAATATGTATTTTTATTATATTTACATTTAACAGTATAGTTGATAACACGTATAGTATCAATTTGTATAATTTAATATTATATTATATTTATATTTGTATTAATTAGATTTATATTAATGTAACACGTGGTAATATTTTTATAATATATAGTAATATAATATTTTTATAATATATAGTAATGTAATATTTTTATAATATTATTTACAATATGTATTTTTACTATATTTACATTTAACAGTATAGTATCAATTTGTATAATTTAATATTATATTATATTTATATTTATATTAATTAGATTTATATTAATGTAACACGTGGTAATATTTTTATAATATATAGTAATGTAACACGTAATATTTTTATAATATTATTTACGATTTGTATTTTTATTATATTTACATTTAACAGTATAGTTGATAACACGTATAGTATTAATTTATATAATCTAATATTATATTATATTTATATTTGTATTAATTAGATTTATATTAATGTAACACGTGGTCATCGTTTTGTAATGGTTTTATACTTTTTGCCTTTTTAATGCAAGTAAACTCTATCGATATCGTGAATTTCAGATTTTTTTTCTTTGAAAGATCACAAGATACATTTTCGTCAAAAATTAATATCGATTTCGACAGAGACAAAGTGACCATTTGTTTTAATTACTCGCTATTTAGAATCTTTTGATCGGCGGAGGCCGGTAGTTCTAATGTAGCAGGATATTCCAACAACCGGCGGGAGATAAATGAATTATGGATGCATGTTCGGCATTAAATCGAGATAATGACGTGATTGAAAGCTGCATGCAGTCGTTTGTCGAGCGAGTAATTCCAACACGTTTTGCAGAAATGGGCCATTCTAACACGTGTCAATTTCCCAGAAAGGTACAAGCAAATGTCCGGCACTAAAAATTCATTTACGAAATACACGGAATTTCCTCAATTTCTCCAATTTCTTCTCATCAGATTAATTTCTTGAATGAAACTAATTTCGCTCGAACTAATTTTATTTTCTCGGTCAATTTATCTACCGGATACTCGGTGTCGTTGCCGAAACGTCAAACGAAAATCGACATGATTCATCGTTCGTTTTGCAGCAATTCCAAAGACAGCCGACGATTGGACGAAAGAAAGGGAAAAAGGAAACGAAAAGTCCAAAGTAGAGAGAGAGAGAGAGAGACGGGACACAGTCTGTCGATCTGAGAATCGATTCTACCGATCCTCTACGAGAGTCCTCATTAGTCGAATTTCCAAGCAACAAAGCCGCGTCTGCTGGTCCCGCGCGTGACCGGATTGACGAGTGGGCATCGCGTGGAGCGTAGAGGTGAAATTTCAGGCCAGCGCTGCCAGTAACGAGTCGCTATTATCGGAGAGCCACGCCGGTCGAATTAACCGTCGACGATAATAAGAATCGAAATCAGAAACGCGTATTCGCTGGGAGGAGACAAGAATTCAATGTCACGTTCGTTTCGATAACGCCTCGAATGAGAAAGCCGCGTCGCCGAACGGACGATGAGCTACCGGATTATGAGCTGATATCGATAAATTGACAATATTAATCCCTTGACCGGAGGGGAAACGTCTGTTTTCCCGTCTGTGCACGTTGAAATGGGACCATATTTGGAGTGAATGATTATTTCCATACGATAACGACGTATACTGCCACGTAGCCTCACTACGGTCAAATCACATCCGCGATTCGTCGTTGCTGTACGACACCGAAGGTCCGATGAGAAATAATTCGTGGAATTTATTGTTTTCCTTTTTTTTCTTCTAGCTTAACCTCGCATCGATTGTACATACTGAGTCGTTAGCGACACGTGTTGCTTGCTTGTCGATAGATTCTGAGAAATGCGTAAATCCTTTTACAGATAAACATAAGAGTGTTTCCAACGTGATCTTGCGACGTCTGTTGTCAAATATTCTACGCTCTTATGTTAGTCTGTCGGTGGCACTCGTTCGGGACAGTTGCAGACCGGTGGAGATAATTTGGTTAGCAAGTATTTATAACTAATTCTTGAACTCTTCTAGAATTATTCTGCCCTTCTTATTTAAGTATCAGTTAGGCAACAATCTCGAGTAACATTGTGGATTTTTAACAGGTTTGTCGAGCTCCATATCCTGTTCCATCGACGAGTCGATCTACGAATGTCGTGATGAGGTTTCTTGGATTGTTGGATTCGAGCGAAGAGGCTTCTCTCAGATGTCACATTCTTCGTTTGGTAAGTCACGAGACGATTACATACACATTTGCTAGCCAGATCAGTTAGCAAGTTTTCTGAATAATTTATACGATTTCGTGCTTTATTTTGACACGCGTATCTTCCATGGCTTGGATGTGAATGCTCCGAAATGTCGTGGACTAATGAGTCGAAATTATATATGTATAATACATTAAGAACATTTCTGTTCATTCGAAGGCGAATGTTTTTATTTATTTATAGTCGTGCAGTCTCCTGGATATGGAAATGCATAGAATTCAGTCCTGTCCACAAATCATATTCAATTCCATTGCAATTTTATTATATTCAATTTCATCGTAATTTCGTTATATATTGTTTCTTATATATTGAAATATAAAAATATAATTCTAGTGCAAATTATATATTGAAGATCTTACCGAGAAGTTAGTGACTGATTTATCGTTCGCTTTGTACAGGCTTCAATTAGCTCTTCTCTCCATTTCATTTTGAAAAATTAGTATTTTTCTTATCTTTTGCCTTTCTTGTTCAATCCGTAATTTTTTAAACAGACCCGAATCAAGCAGTTATAAATTAATGAATATATAATCTCGACTCATTGGTCTATTTATGTAAATTGCATACATACTGCATACATAATTGCATATATATTGTTAACTCTATGTTGACGATACTGTAATAAATTAGGTACATGCAATATAATACAATTTAAAAATAAAAACGTGTGAGAAAATTATAATCATTTCGTCCAAGATAAGCAGTGCCTGGCCCTTTAATTATATTCATATTTCATAACCATTGCCAGTCTAAAATACAAGACTTCACGTTCAACTTCGTGTTCAAACAAACTCATGTTCTTGCACAGTGAAACTCCATTTATACGAACGTCATTTGTTCGAACCAAATTTTAGTCGATACCCGATTAAACGAATCCCTATTTGAACTTGGAACGAAAAGTCACTAGTAGAAGAGAGAATCAATGGACTGTTACATTAACTCCAATTACACATCCCTATGTTTATGCGAATGAAGTTCAACTACAGATAATCTTACTTACGTCTACCGTAATTATTCCATTTACCACTACGGATAAAATGAACAGAAAGTTCGTTCTACTCGACAGCGTCTTTTACGCACTTACTTTTTCTTACTCACTCTGTATCTTACTTTCACAAACCCGCAGTGACGAGCTGTGTCGTCACGCGCGACAGAGATGTCTCTGAACTCGGCAAAAAAAAAAAAAACCCCGTCCAAGCCAGTGAAGAGGTGATACGCGTGTTATCGCGCGAGATTCCAATTTTCTCCGATATATATACGTGCCTACATACACACGTACAGGGTGTCCAAAAAGGTTGGGACCAAACTTAGACTACTTGTTACCGAGGTCAAATAAATGAAAAAAGTTCATCTTAAAATGCTTTATTGAAAAGAATATTTAAAGATATTTATGATTTATTGTGACAGTTATAAGAAATGTTCGGAAATTCCTGCATTCTGCAAGAATGCAGGCTTTCATTCGTCGAATTAGTGTCGTACATTCATTTGTATTGGAAATAATAGAAAATGCATTTTGAATACATTCCCCAAGTAACGTAGGAGGCCAGCTGATTGGTCCGCGACCGATCCAACGTTTGAGGGAATTGTTTATTAAGAAATTCACGTACGTTCAAAATGTTGAAACCACACTTGACAGCGTGTTTCTAAGACATCATGCAACATATCGTCAAGATTACTTTGCCTACAATCTTATTGAGAATTTGTAACACGTGTACGATTCTGTACAACGAAATTGTAAGACGAATTTTGTCCCTAAATCTTCGAACGCTTACATCTTTTCAATAAAGCATTTTCGGACGAACGTTTTTCATGTGTTTGACCTCGGTAACGCCTAGTCTAAGTTTGGTCCCAACTTTTTTGAACACCCTGTATATATGCCCGATATCGGCGGGAGTGATTTACTTAAATACGGGGCGTGCACACGCGTGGCCGTGATGGGGTGGGTTGATGGTATATCGCGAAGATGCCGCCGAGTCATTTCCCGGATTATATATCGAGGATGTTGACTGAGTGAGCGGAGCTGTTCCGACACGTTTCGCGAACGAGTAGACGGCCGTTTCTTATCTCGGAGCGTTCCAACGCCGCTAACCATCTGCCGCTTCCTCGGCGACTGGAATTCGTGCCATGTGAGAAACGAACGAGCCGAGCTGAATGTCGAAAACTTGGACAAATATTCCGTATATTCTTGTAGAGTCTCGGTCAATAAACCTTGTCGGACGCTGGATCCTGTCCATTGCGGCCTCCCGCGAGATATTGTGTCACTCGCTCAATACACACACGCGGACACATACGGCTATAAAGTGCGGTAACGTGACGAGCGTCTAGTTTTCTTTTTCCACGTATGTATGCACGCGTATACGTATGTGTATTTTCTGCTAAACTGGACCGAATAATACACAGATTTCTATTCCACGGGGTATTCAAAATTTCGTGGAGACGACGTGACGCGCAGTGCTCGTGTTGGGAGATTTCGTTATCGCGATATTTGCATATGTGTGGCGTAGCGAATGATTACCATTTACTATCGTTTGTTAGCTATCCACTTCGTCCGGTGGTCGAATCTATTTTTCGGGTTTCATTATATCCATTTATCGGGTCGAATTGAAAATATTATACCGGTGTAAAAGTCGAGCGATATTCTCATTTATTTTTTTTTTAGCAAAATTAAGTTTATTAGCATTTATTGACGTAATTAAACTTGTCATCTGTTTGGTTTGAAGGTTCCTAAAGCTTCAAGCAAAGAAAAGTATTTCGAACGCTGAAGTTTCTTCCTTCTTCGTAGTGCGTAGCGATATTATATTTATTCGCGAAAACATGAATTAAATTTGTAAATTTGAAAGATAAGTTTAGGAAACGACAGTGTGCGATACTCTCGCGAGTAAAGTTGACGCAAGGAACAAAATAAAGCAGCGAAAATTTGCTGCGGCACACTTTTTTTCTAGCGACAAAACTTTCGATTCAGAGATCAATTTATACGGTTATATAATATAATCCCAGGACTTGCAACCTGCTCCGTTTTATTTCGCGTTTTTCACGAAACGTCGTTGCAGCCGGTAGCAAAACAACGTAACTCGTGCATATGCAGAGTGCCTCGAGCGAACACTGACAGGGAGAGAAATCGTGAATTCGTTCAATGGAATTCAATTCAATCGTTAAATCAACATCGGTGAAGAACGTTGCACGATACGTCCGTTGTAATATTACACCGTTTGTGTAATGCGTTTAATAACCTGACATTTTGAAAGCAATGAAAGAACTTACGAGTACGAGAATCTACTCAGAGGAAATCGGCTTACGGAGAATCGGCGAAGGTGGCTCGGAGAAAAATAACCGGGCAGCGACGCGCTAACTCTTTGCCCTCGACAAACTTTCCTTGTGTCTACCAGAAATTTATTTACGAAGCATCAGTTCAACTAAAATGACATAGCATTTGTCAGGAAACAATCATTCAAATGGCACATGACGCGAGTTATTCTGTTAATTATATCTTTCTAACACGTGATATTAGACACGTTTAAATTTAAAGCAACCATCGACTTGCTAGAGCAAGTATAATATACAGGAGTTAATGATACATAGTTCCAATCTTTGGAAAAATAATATCCTCCGCCATCTTCGTAAGAAGCAATAAGAAGTCTAGTGAATTATCGAGTGTCAATTAACTCGGAACTATCTTGAGAAATTTCTTCTCCATGCGTCGTTATTATAGCTTTCACTCTAGGCATCTGTTCAGATATTAGGTTACACATCGCATCGTGTACAACACGATATGTACACGTTCATGATAATTGTCAGTAAATTATTTCTTTTTCATTTTCGTTAAGAACATTACAATCAATCCTCATTGAGGATTATCAGTGAGTGAGTGGCATGCAGAGTAATTACTACTACTACTAGCGTCGATCAATGAGATACATAGGTTCGGACATTTATATAAATCTATCGTGAAGCTCCAACAGTTAGAGTGGTTACTCACGCTTGAGTTGTATCTATTGCCATGTTTTGATATTTCCTCTTTAATTGTGTGGGCTTTAATCCTGAGATCACGGCGGATTGTTTCGTTTGTTACATACCAAGGTGCATTTGTGATTATTCTTGGTGCATTGTTCTTTGATTGGAAGCGTTGGAGTTGCTCGCTGTACCCCAAAGTTGAATTCCGTAGGTCCAGATTGGTTTCAAGATGACTTTGTAGAGTAGTAGTTTATTTTCCAACAGCCAGTAATATTGTTGAACTTTTAACTTCAGTTGGTTACATTTAGCTTTGATATGCTGCTTTCCACGTTAATCTTCTGTCGAGGTGCAGTCCCAGATATTTAACCGAAATCTTTGGTCGGAATTATGGAGTTGTTCCAAGTCACTGGCGGGCAATTTTGTCTTCGTAGGGTAAATGTACTGTGCGTTGATTTATTTTCGTTTACTTTAAATCGCCATTTGTGCAACCATTCCTCCAAGGTGTCGAGGTTGAAGAGATGTAGATACCATTTGCGGATCTTCGTGAGATTAATGATCATCCGCGAATGTTGCAGCGATTACCTCCGATGGTGTAGGTAGATCGGTCAGCGAATTATAAGAAGAGAAAGTCCGATCTGTCGGCTAGATCCTAAGTACGGTCGAATGCAAAGGGGTTTAAAGCAGTCGGCTTCCTCGCGACAATGAGCCAGTCGTTACAATAATACCATTTCGCTTAGTAACATGATGCATCGGATGATGTAATCTTGTTAATGCCCTACGTTAATCCTATTTTCACGAAAATGTTCCGCGTTGCTAAAATCGCCGCCTAATGCTACTAATTAGTTGCCATTAATCGTCGGCGCTATAGCCGCCAGGCATTTTGCCTACGCACTTCGCCGGAGATTTCCCCTTTGAGCCTGTTGTGCAGTCGCTAATTTTCTAACCGTGATTTGATTCAGAGTCGCACGATAATTCATGCCGCCCGTTAATTAACTTCTTCCGCCCGTTCGTAAAATATGCTTAGTTATATATCAGTTACGTTAATCGACTAGCCGGGAATTTATCAGCCGGTGATTTTCAACGGTTGCGAGGCCATCGGTGAAAATTTAACACGGCGTGAGATTGACGAGCCACTCGAGCTTAATAAGAGCGTGTCTGCGAAAATTTCGAATCGAGATGTTGAATTTTAACGATGTGAAGATCTGTGAAATCTTCATTATTTTGCTTGTAACAAAAAGTTTTTAAAAGGGTGATTTCGTACGCTCTT